ATACACTTGGGCTATGCCCATCCCCAAACCTTTATAAATAATCTTGATTTGAAGCTTTCGTGACTTCAGGAATCCATACTCTTTGGTTCTTTCGGTAAAGTCACGTAGGTATAAAATAACCAGTTTGCCTTTAGTGGCTGACTTCTTTGCTTGATGACGACCGCTTGTGTTGCGATCGAAACGTCGTGATATTTTTATTCATTTTATTTGTATTATTTTTTTCTATCTACGTGACTTTACCGAAATAACTAAAGAACCGATGTTTAAGCTTTCGATGTTTAAGCTTTCAATGCTGGAATATAGCCAAAGTAAGTGAAAACCAAATGAATGTGTTTTGTGTATGGGTGTGGTGTAGACATGAGATTTTTCTCATGACAGATCTGCTATTCAGCCAAATGAAATTGAACATTTTACCTGCAATTTTTTATACATATATAGTCATTGGTGACTGGGCTTAGACCATCAAATGCACTTGAGAACCCAGTTAAATTACAAGTGGCTGTAACCTAGATTAAAACCTATATCCCAGTGGTTCCGGCTTAGCTCCCTGACCAATGAAGCACCCATCATTTAACAGTTGTACAGGAGAATTTCAACTTTGAATAGTGCATCGTGTACAGCTCGTCGAGATGAGTCGATTGCCGCATCGCCGACCATCAACAGACTAAAAATGACTGCATAATGGACATTACACGAGAAGCGGGGTTCATATAGTACGTTCTATAATTATTCGTTTTGAATGTGTGAGAAAACACAAGTGTCTGGAAAACAACCCATGCATACAAGAGGATTAACTCTCTTATTCCTGCAATATAACACTATTGAATAGCCTTGCTCAAAAGTGCAAAACAGTTTTTTTGAGTAGCTAAGGGTTTTTTTAAATTCATATACATAATATTAAATGTTTTCATTCATCCAGAATAAATGTCTCCAGAGGGGGCAGGAAAATTAAAAGTAAAGCCAGAGAATTAAAGGTCATGTGTTATATGAAGGACACAATGGGCCCTCTGTGGCCCCAAACTCAAGAGAGCCAAGTCCAGCGCTCCCACAATGCCAAGCAGCGAATGCGTCAATGTGTAATCCTAGCCACTGGATGGTGGTAGATTGGCTCATCACCCTGTGAGAGTCGGTGGCTCACACTTTGGATGCAAAGGTTGGTGGATCATGCAAATTTGTAAAAATTCCAAACCCAATGGAACCATAAGTGGCCGAAGTATGCCATTACAGATAATGAGTTTTGTGAAATCATCTGTATAGAACTTTGAGTGGTATCCTCTCATATGTATGAATTTTCTCCAATTGCTGCAGTATCTCCCACATGAAAATCGCTCCTTAAAAACGAATGCGCCAAACGTTGCAATGCAGCAGACTTCTGAAAAAGGGTCATGACACTGAATGCTCAAGTCTTTACTGGATAAATACATATTATTTATTATTGGATAGAAGACAGCAGAGCCAATTGAAAAGTTGCCAGTGTGAGTATAAGGGATTGCACCTCATGATGTTTTGTACCCAAGGAGATGACATTTGCATGCGTTATGTTAATATTCCCCAGCATCAGGTTATCTGCTTTAGGAAAACCCGGCCTAAGGGGCGGCTAATCATGGCAGCAACCAAGGAGCAAAACTGTATGGGAAACAGAGAAACAGAAACAAAGACAATGATAGAGACACAGACATATAGAGACATAGAGCTACAGAGAGAAACTAAGAAAACTAACACAGAGACATAAAGAGACACGCAGAGACGTACTGTATAGAGAATGAGAGATGGAGAAAAAGACAGTTGGAGATGAGAGAGAAATGCACAAGCATTGAGGGAGCAGAGAAACATGAATATCGACAAACAGTGGGAAACAGACACCGTCAAACAGAAATAGATGCATTGAAAAACATAGTACCAGACACAAGAATAACATCGACCACCAGCAAACCCCTGCGGTGGTTACCCCTCGAGACACACACAAATGTTCGTTCACCCAATGTGCTGTTTGTATTAAATCCAGCCCTGACTGCAGGTGCTGGAGAGTGTGAGAGCGTAAGAACTACCACAAATTTGTGATTGTCCCGTCAAATTTGCGAGACGTGAGATCTCTCTAAACCAGGAAAGCTACTGCATAGAGATTTGTACTTGAAGCGCGTGGCTGTGATGTGGAAGCTTGCTGTTGCTTTTCGTTGCCCGCACTGTATGTGCTCTAAGCCTCTGAATGCGCATGCCATGCACAGCAGCTGGGAATGAGAGAACCCTTGACAACACTGCAGGGGGTTTAACTTAATGAGATGTTTTGGCTATAAGGCATGGTCATCAGTCTAACACACTCACGTGGGTTGTCACCACTTAACTCATTATTCGTTCACCGTCTTAAATAAGCATGCACCATCTGGATGTTTAAACTTAACTGAGACTTTACCAGTGAGCTTTTCGAGGAGAGGAAAAACAGTGCAGTTGGAAATATTGCGCATATCACGATCTTGAAATAGGGGCAACCGAATAACCCACAGTCACACTGTGGTTAGCGTGTCACTTATCATTATCACGTCTGAGTTGGGCTGAACTTTTATACATTTGTGTTAAATGTGGGGAATTATGAGTATATATTAATTTCAGTGGTTTTGATAGGGATGTGATGTATGCTTAATACACTAGTTGTGCGACTTTCTAACCTAAAGAAACCTCTTTCTACTTAAATCTGTCCGACCATGCTTGGCCTGAAAAGGACCAATGTGTTCTGTTTGACTGAGCAACATTCCACCAATATTAATTCATTATAATTTTTCCTTCCAGTTATATTTTAAATCCTATTCCATTTGGGATATCCGTGTCATGCCCTAAGACAAAGATATTTCTACTTGAATCTTTTACAGACAGCAGTTTTGTCCACTATGTGTTTGACCTAGGAAGATAGTCACATAATTACGTATATCCCTTCTTTGTCCACGTTAGAGGCAATCATTGTATATGCTCTGCAAGGAGTGGGCATTGCTGTGTGGTCATTGGTGACTGGGTTGACACCATTAACTCAGTCGACATGGGAACTTGGTTGAATTCTAGATTTGAAGCTTTCGTGACTGCAAGGATTCATGCTCTTTGTTTTTTTCGGTAAAGTCACGTAGGTAAAAAGTACAAGAAACTGCAACTCGGATTTGAGCCCAGGATCTCAGTGGTGGCAGTTCAGCAATTCTGTGTGGTATTTAATGCCATGAACCCCCACCCCCACAACCTCCTCTGAGATTAATTGTCTCTTTTGCAAGCGTGATCTTATAATCATATATACAAACAGGTATATTTAATAAGATAATTTTGGCTACGTACGGTTAGCTATGTGTACGCTGTGAAAGAAGTTGAACATACATTTTAGAACTAATGTTTACAAGTAACTTTTACATGTGTGGACTTTTCTGCAAGACCAGCATATAAAACAATGTCAAAGGTCTTTAGTGTCTATTGTACAGAATATCGCATGCTTTGATACTTTATAAAACATTATGTATTAGGTAGGATTGGAGTGGTGGCGCAGTGGTTAGAATGCTATGCTATGAACCCTAGAACTTGGGTTCAATTTCCGGAAAAGCTGGGCGCGCTTCCCTCAGCAACGTCCATTGACCAGTGCGGTGAAGTATAGTCAAACAAGCCCAATGACTAACATTGTGTGGGGAGACTTTCATCCAATAGTATATTGACAAAGAGCTCAAATTTATGTTGAAAAATATTCACTGGTTGACTGGTTGCACTGGTCCAGTGGGAAGCTCTCTGATTATTAGGACCTTCAACTTGAATAGTCTCTCGCACAAGGTGGCCAGATGCCTCAGGCAGCTAATAACGTGTCAGCACTGAGCTGCCACGGGAGGCATCTGGAGTTGGAATCCATGCAGCCATCTGTTACTAGGCCAGGGTTCTCAAGTGTATTGAGTTGATGTATTCAGCCTGGGAATCGGTGAGTGCACAAAACAACTTATTACATTTAGTTTTCTCTTAAAGTAGCACATTTCCAGCTCTAAGGCCTAAATATACTTTTGACTGCCACAAACGTCTCAAAGCATGGCAGAGTATAATTTTACTTTACAATGACATGTATGTATGGTTCAAATCCAGCAGCCGCCCTGATTATTACCATGGTGTGGAATAACAATGCATGTCATCTGCATCACAATGGACGTTAAAGATCCCCCTGATGTCGTTTACAATAGTAGGCCCTGGTGTGCCAGTGTCAGGGTCCAACTTTGTTAAATTCAAATTACTCAATTGGGATTATACACAGCAACCATCACCCTCTTGCTGGCAGAATCATTCCTCAGGTCAGAATCAGAATTTTAATTCATACTGGAGCAATCCGATGAGCTATAAAGCTCTTTTTCACAGATGTCCAGTAGGGACACGGGGTCAGAACAGTACAAGAAACAATCTAAAAACACAATTGGAGTGCAAAGTATAGGAAAGGTAAGCAAATCACTAACAAATATATACAATTTTTATTTAAAGCTTTCGTGACTGCAGTAATTCATATTCTTAGCTCTTTCGGTAAAGTCACGTTGAAGGGAAACAATAAAATAATAAAATATATAAAACAACGTGACTTTACCGAAAGAGCTAAGAATATGAAATATATACAACTTCTTTGGTTCTTTCGGTAAAGTCACGTTAAATGAGAATAAATTATTATTTTATTCTCAAATTATTATTTTATTCTCATTTTATGTGACTTTACCGAAAGAACCAAATAAGATGAATCCTTGCAGTCACGAAAGCTTTAAATCAAAATATATACAAATAAACTCAACTTTTATTTTACCATGTAAAGCCTGAAAGCGACCTGGCCACAATGATGGCTCAACTAAGAGGCTTATCACGTGGAAATTTCTAGCAGTCAAATAATCGAAATAATCTCATGTGGTTAAACAAAACAATCTTAATGGTCAAAGTAACCTAGGATCCACACAGCATGGGGAGGTCCTGGTCCACCTCCAACCCATCTTTGCGTGTGCCCGGTTTTTGTGTTGCAGCCGGAGCCGTGTACGACGTAACCCTCAACTTCAAGGACAACAAGAACCCGTCTCTGCTGGGGATCCTTTACGGCAAGAAGTACCAAGCCGACATGTGTGTCAGGTACGAGGGAGGGCAGCTTCTAGTCCAGCGCGTTCCACACTCCAGTGCTCATAACCCTCCACGGTGGACGATGGATTTTTTTATCCATTGTCTAGAATTTCAGAATCAGAATATGTATTTATACTTGAGGAATCTGATGAACTGTAAAGCGTTTTTTCACCAATGTCCAGTAGGGGCGGGTCATAATTTGCGCTTGTGCCAAAGAGAGATGGCACCCGTTACAGTAATGCAACATTTCTAGCGACACACCGACATATGCTCATTATAACCAGAGAGATCATTTGACTTTTAACCTAAACACTAGCCTGATCTTTTGATTTAAAGCTTTCGTGACTGCAGTAATTCATATTCTTAGTTTTTTCGGTAAAGTCACGTTGAAGAGAAACAACAAAATAACAAAATATATATAAAACAATAAAAAATTCTCACGACGTTTCGACCATAACTCAAACGGTCATCATCAGGTGTTGATGATGATGACCGTTTGAGTTATGGTCGAAACGTCGTGAGAATTTTTTATTGTTTTATATATATTTTGTTATTTTGTTGTTTCTCTTCAACGTGACTTTACCGAAAAAACTAAGAATAATACTAGCCTGATTGTTTGTGTATGGTGAGCAAGATAATTAAATTCACCAGGAGAGGTCAGAGAAATTATATTGGAACCAGGAATGGAAAGGGACATGGTAGACTTTATTTTAAGGAAATTATTATTAGGATGGAAAAAGACAAGTGTCCCAACTTCCTCCTGTACAGCCACATTAGTGAAACTAGCACTCGAGGTTATTTGAGTAAACAATGGGTCGATACCATTAGACAAGATTAACTGGAGCTGGGAATCACACTCAAATGTGGATTGGCTACAACATTGGTAACCAACCTGTCATCTACAAACGACTGGTGGGTCCACAACATTGTGGGAAGTGGCTCGTGGAACTGCTGCAGTTAGTACAATCTCGCGATGGCGAGATCTTAACTCCCTCGCCTGGTATGCAGTAGGGTCATGGGTTCTATCCTGACCCTGATGCCTGTATATTTGGAGTTTGTATGTTCTCCCCGTGGTCACGTGGATTTTCCTCCGGGTCATCCAGTTTTTCCCTCCATATCTAAAAACATCCGTTTAGAGTATTTGGCTGCGATAAATTTCCACATAAACCACTTCGTTGAGCTATCGTTTGTGATGGCCAGGTCGCTTCTGAAAAAGAGCTACATAGCTCAGTGGGCCTTATCTGGTAAAATAAAAAATAGTTTGTGTTTTTTTTATGTATTTGGGGCATGGTGGGTCCACAAAAGAAAATGTAATGTTTAACAGTGGTCAGCAGGTCCAGAAAGGTTGGGAACTACTGGGCTGGAACATTGTTACTGTAACTGGGAGACACTCCCAGACACGGATTGGCTAAAGCCAGAGACAGACACAGTTGGAAGTAGGCCATAAATGGGCTGCTAGAGCACGCTGATCTATCACTATGACCGAGACATGTTAAAAGTTAATTATTACAGTGTCAGTCTCCTTAATACATTTATATGAATTTTAATTTATAGTTATGGAGATGATGTCAGTTGTTCTGTGTGTAAGCGAATGGGTGCAGTGTTTCAAGTGTTTTTATGAGTTCCCGTCCTTTCATAATTCCTCTATCTGTTTCTTAATTCCGTGCATTCATCCGTTGAATTTAATTAATTTGCATTTGCTTTTGAAATGGAAAATATGGAAAGTTGGGTCATTCATTGGCTAAATCAGAATTTTATGCTCAGAATAAATGCATTTAATCGTGTGCGCAATCATTTATGTCAATTCATATAAATATACTAAATATTTTCATTAGAAGAATAGTTGAACGAGACTACATAGCACATATGAGACAAATAATATAGTACAAAACAGTGTTCCCATTGACATGAATTTTTGTAAATATTACCTTACCCTTTGAATTCAGAGAAAATGGTGCAGTACATCATGCGACTGAAGCGACATCAATTTTTTTGTGAAACTGTCTTACGCTTGCTGGAATATTTGCTGACATCAGTATGTGCTGCTGTGCTCATCTGAAATGGACCCCTCTTAACCCAACTGCCACAAAGCGGTATAACGATGGTTGTTATCAGTTGTTATTTTTTTATTATGAAATGTTGATGCTGATACATTCTGATGACGACTTTGACAATGGGACGTCCAAAACTAAAGCGCGCTCGCGACAGTGTGATATGATTGTAATCATGGTGACGTCATTCACGTAGCTTGTGTTCAAACCCAATGACGACGTGTCTTTCCCCGCTGTGTGTGTCGCATGTGTAGGAGGTTTCCTCTGAAGGATCTGCCTGAAGATGAGAAAAAGTGTGCCATGTGGCTCTACAACCTCTACCTGGAGAAGGTGAGGCCGCCTCCTTAGCACATTTCTGCCTCCAACATTGAGGGGGTCTTCGTAAAGGCACTCCACTCCTGATGTCATAATCGTTGAATGTTACCGACATCTTTTTTTCAAAAGTGTAAACAGCGTTTACGCCCCACTGCCAGAAAGAGCTCATTAAAATGTTCAAACATATTAGTTGGTGATGCTGCCTTGGCAACATGGCTATTAACACAAAATACTCAACACATTCGTCAGTGTGAAGGACTTTTGCCTGAAAAGTCGTTGATTTTTTTCTTTAAAGGCAGCGTAATTGACACATCTTTTAAAAGAGATTTACGAACATTTTACAGATTTTAAAAGTGTACAATGACCCTATTTACATGCACAGATAACAAGTTCAATTTTGATTTAAAGCTTTCGTGACTCCAGGGATTCATATTCTTGGTTCTTTCGGTAAAATTTTCTTGCTGTGGTTTTCACACCTGATGATAATTGCTTGTGTTGCAGTCGAAATGTGATAATTTTATTGTTTTATATTTTTATTGTTTTATATTTTTATTATTTTATTGTTTCCCTTCTACCTGACTTCACCGAAAGAACCAAGAATAAGATAACAAGTTGTGTTGCTAATATATTCAAAGTTTGCTAATCGCAGCACTTGTTTTTACAAAGCAGGTTTTAGAACGTTTTACCTGCTGACGTCAGAATGTCACGACCACTTGCGCCGCCCAGTGGTTAGGGTGAATCGTTTGTATCAGTGGTTCCACATGGAGACATACAGTACACGTGCGATGTTACCAGGCCATACGTTTTTTGTAAACATTTTCTTCAGACAAATTAACTTCATTGTTTTACTCTGGGAATAAAGTTAAGGGAAATGCCAAAAAAATATCAGTTTTAAGCACGTACACTCTACCTCATTTCAGTAAAAATACATTAGAAATACATTTTCAACTTACTGGTGTGTGAGTTGTGTTAACCACACCATGGGAGAAAAGATACCATAGCCAAATACTATATGCTAAGTAAAGTTGAGGCTGATGCTCTACACATGAGACAAAATTGGGGACCCAAGTATTCACAGAAAATGTCTTCATACATAGCTTTAGAGTGGGGAAATTTGTGAATTGATGTATGGGATTGCATTGATAATGCTTTTACAAATTAGAGATAAAACAAAAACGAATGAGAAAGGAATGAGGCAGACAAGCATTTGTAACCATGATTGCCAAATTGATTATTTATACTTGGTTGCTATACATTTCCACATAAGCCACTTTGTTGAGCTATCATTTGTGGCCAGGTCACTTCTGAAAAAGAAGTCGACTTTACTTGGTAAAGTAGAAAGTATTTTTATTTGCTTACCTTTTCAATCATTTGCGCTCATATCATATTTTTGTTATTGTAACTTTCTAACCCGTCCTTACTGGACATCTGTGTATAAATAAAGATTCTGATTTGAATGAATGTACGATTGCGTGATTGTGTAATTAAGTGCCTATATAATATATCGATCATTTAATCATGTCTCGCTTTTCTTGAGAATCATCTCAATGTGTGTGTCGCTCATTGTTCCTCCATCCATGCTCGACATGTCACGCAGGATGCCCTGCAGGAGGAGTACAGCAAGACGGGCGTTTTCCCGGGCGAGTGCATCAAGCCCAACAAGCGGCCTTGGGCCGTGCTCAACTGGCTCTTCTGGGCCACGCTGCTGCTCTATCCCCTGGGCTGCCTCGCGTGGAACATCCTGACGAGCGGATCCGCCCTTGCCATCACCGCGCTGCTCATCGCCCTCACCGCCGGTAACAAACGCGCGCAAAGTTGTAATGAAAGAAACGTGTGCGTGGGTTCTGTCATGCCTTTCAACTTGGGTTTGTCCTCAAGTGTTGATTAGCAGTATGAACACCGATGGATAGCTGTCAGAACAAGATACGTTTCCATATTTGCAAATAGCATCATATTGTCCCTACGAGTTTCTGCTCAACCCTTTAATCGGTGTAGCCGATTTTCTAAAGGGTAACCTCCAAAAACAGCACGGGTATGCTGGTGAGAGAGGCCTGCTGTTCAGCACACCCGTGCTGGTGAGAGGGGCCTGCTGTTCATCACAACAGCACTGGTGAGAGAGGCTTGCTGTTCAGCACACCTGTGCTGGTGAGAGGGGCCTGCTGTTCATCACAACAGTACTGGTGAGAGGGGCCTGCTGTTCATCACAACACGACCTGGTGAAAGGGGCCTGCTGTTCATCACACCCGTGCTGGTGAGAGGGGCCTGCTGTTCAGCACACCCGTGCTGGTGATAGGGGCCTGCTGTTCAGCTCACCCGTGTCGGTGAGAGGGGCCTGCTGTTCAGCACACCCGTGCTGGTGAGAAGATGACGCCGATGATGGTAGCCTCAGCCGGTCGGTGCGCCCTGTTTTGTCTTGTTTTGTCTGTTAATTCAGTGTTTTGCCAAGATTTTCGGAGTTCCCTAACAAGAGACGAACTTTTAAATATCAGGGAAACAACTCCTGTGGATTTAATTCCTACTTTTCTGCTTCCTGCGGCAGAATTAGTGGGCATTCTAGTCAATGCCACGCTAGGCTTTGCTCAAGCAGCGAAACGCCGCCCAAGGGGTAAACGGTCGGGGGCTCTCGTACGGCTACGCAGACGCAGGATCCGAACAGTGCTTCCGAGCTTTTTCCTCTCCAACGTACGTTCACTGTGCAACAAAATGGACGAACTTCAGCTACTGATGGTGAAAAACAGAGACTTTCTTTCATCTTCTGTTTTGTGTTTCACGGAGACATGGCTGTGTGATTTGATTCCGGACACTGCGCTACAACTAGCAGGATTCCATCTTGTAAGATCGGATTGTGACATAGCACTCTCCGGCAAGACGAAAGGCGGTGGTATTTGTTTTTACATAAACAGTGGCTGGTGTGTAGATGTCACAGTGATTCTGCAACATTGTTCTCCACTCCTTGAATCAATTTTTATAACCTGTAAACCTTTCTACTCGCCTCGCGAGTTTGCGTCGCTCATTTTGGTCCGAGTTTATTTGCCGCCGTGTCCTCAGGTTAAAGAGGCCCAACGCATGCTCGCCGACCAGATTCTGAGTGTGGAGCGAGCAAATCCAGATTCGTTGGTTATCGTACTTGGCGACTTTAACAAAGGTAATCTCAGCCACGAACTCCCCAAATGCATACAATTCATTAAATGCCCTACCAGAGAAGGGAACACTCTGGATCACTGCTACACTACAGTCAGTAGAGCCTACCACGCCATCCCCCGAGCAGCACTGGGACACTCTGACCATGCCATGGTCCACCTGATTCCTGCATACAGGCAGAAACTAAAGCTCTGTAAACCTGCTGTGAGGACATCTAAACAGTGGACCAGTGAGGCTGTGGAAGATTTGCGGGCGTGCTTGGACTGTACTGACTGGGATATGTTCACGACTGCTACCAATAGTCTGGATGAACTCGCAGAGGCTGTGACGTCCTACATCAGCTTCTGTGAGGACTGCTGTATCCCAACACGTACCAGGGTGAACTTCAACAACAACAAGCCCTGGTTCTCAGCAAAGCTCAGAAGGCTGAGGTTGGAGAAGGAGGAAGCGTTTAGGAGTGGGGATAGAGACAGATTCAAGGAGTCGAAGAACAGGTTTAGCAAGGCGGTGAGAGAGGCTAAACGACTACTCAGAGAGACTAAAACACCAGTTCTCTGCTAACGACTCTGCTTCTGTCTGGAGAGGGTTCAGGCAGATCACCAACTACAAGCCCAGAGCTCCCCACACTACTAACGACTCCCGCCGAGCCAACGACCTGAACGAGTTCTACTGCAGATTTGAAAGACAATTGGAGTGTCCTGAACTACCCCTTCCCAACCAAAAAGCCCTATCCCCCACCCATACTACAGAGACGACTCTCTCCTTTCAGGAGGGAGAAGTTAATAGACTTTTTAAGAGGCAGCATCCACGCAAAGCAGCTGGGCCGGACTCTGTCTCTCCAGCCACCCTCAGGCACTGTGCTGACCAGCTGTCACCGGCGTTCACCAACATCTTTAACACCTCCATGGAGACATGGCATGTACCAGCCTGTCTCAAGTCCTCCACCATCATCCCTGTGCCCAAAAAGCTAAGGCCAACAGGACTAAATGATTATAGACCGGTCGCCCTTACATCTGTGGTAATTAAGTCTTTTGAGCGCCTGGTCCTGGCACACCTCAAAGCCATCACAGGCCCTCTCCTGGACCCCCTTCAGTTTGCCTACAGAACCAACAGGTCTGTGGACGACGCAGTTAATATGGCCCTCCACTTCACTCTACAGCATCTGGACTCCCCAGCATCCTACGCCAGGATCCTGTTTGTGGACTTCAGCTCTGCCTTCAACACCATCATCCCTGCCCTGCTTCAGGACAAGCTCTTCCAGCTGAACGTGCCCGACTCCACCTGCAGGTGGATCACAGACTTCCTGTCTGACAGGAAGCAGTGTGTTAAGCTGGGAACACAAGTCTCTGACTCCAGGTCCATCAGCACTGGAACTCCTCAGGGCTGCGTCCTTTCCCCACTGCTCTTCTCCCTGTATACCAACAGCTGCACCTCCAATCATCTGTCCGTCAAACTCTTGAAGTTTGCGGACGACACCACCCTCATTGGGCTGATCTCTGGTGGGGATGAGTCTGACTATAGGTGGGAAGCTGACAACTTGGTGACCTGGTGTAGCCAGAACAACTTAGAGCGAAATGCTCTAAAGACAGTTGAGATGGTTGTGGACTTCAGGAAGAATACAGCCCCACTCACCCCGATCACCCTGTGCGACTCCCCAGTCAAAATTGTAGAGTCCTTCCGCTTCCTGGGCACTATTCTCTCACGGGACCTCAAGTGGGAACTGAACATCAGCTCCCTCACCAAGAGAGCACAACAGAGGATGTACTTCCTACGGCAGCTGAAGAAATTCAACCTGCCAAAGACAATGATGGTGCAATTCTATACAGCAATCATTGAATCCATCCTCACCTCCATAACCGTCTGGTACGCTGCTGCCACTGCCAAGGACAAGAGCAGACTGCAGCGTATCATCCACACTGCTGAGAAGGTGATTGCCTGCAATCTACCATCCCTCGAGGACCTGCACACCACGAGGACCATGAGGCGAGCGAGGAAGATTTGTGGCTGATTCCTCCCACCCTGGACACTCTCTGTTCCAGCTACTCCCCTCCGGCAGAAGGCTGCGGTCCATCAGGACCAAAACCTCACACCACAAAAACAGTTTCTTCCCATCCGCTGCTGGCCTCTTAAACAAGGCCAAGGGCTTACACTGACTTTAACATTTTATCTACAAAATGACACCTTGCCAATATTAACTATATTACCCTATTTGTATTTTTTATTTTTAGATTGTATCTTAAAGCTATTTTATATTCGATATTTATTCAATTTTATATACTTAGCCCCTTGGTGTTAGTTAGACTTTGAACCCTTATAGTAAGACTTGTTTACCACTTATTTAAGATTTTAGATTCCTATATGTTGAATGTATGCACCATCCTGCCAAAGTAAATTCCGTGTCTGTGTGAACTTTCATGGCGAATAAAACCCTTTCTAATTCTGATTCTTCATATTAAATGTAATTTATATTGGCTCATTTTTATGAGAGTTGTGATGGCTATACTGTAATGATAATTCCTAACAAAGATGTAACCAGTATTCAGATGTCTCATTGTTTTGTTGGTGTCTTAAGATATGGCCACGATTGTGAATTCTGGTGTTCTAAATCAAAACGGTTGTCCATTGTTCGTGCAGTATGGTTATGTCTTGTGACATACAACGCATCATGGTAGGACTGATCTTATAGTCAAATTTTTGCATGTTTTATTATTCTTGTGGGGCAGTCGTGGTGGTGATGACAGTGTGACTGACTTGTGTTTACTTTTGCAGCTTCCTTGGGGGTGCGTCGTCTGATACGGGTCACGGAGATCGATAGAGGATCCAACTATGGAAACCAGGAGGTGAAGAAATCCGACTGAAACAGCGGAATGTGAGTGTGGATGTGCGGAATCACAGCTTGTTGTGTACCATTATTGCTAGCATATCTATATTTAAACAATAACCCCAGGTGTTTTGCATATTATGAAAACAAAAAAAAAACTGTGAACTTCAAATGTGATGTAAAAAAAATACTATTAAGTTTTTTTTTCTTTTATCATATTTGTACCCACATCTGATTTGAAATCCACATGATTTGTCTCCTCCCTTAGGGGACAATGCTATATTCAAAGGCTTGCAGTCTCTCCGTGACTTTAGTGTGCGCTGGATTGACAATGCTTGGAATGTTCCATTTGACACAGGGCGTTGGAGTACAGTATGGATTTCAATCCCCAGTTTTGGTCATGAAAAGTGCTAATCAAATCCACACTTTCATAAACGATACTTTTATTAGTAACATAGATGAAAATCCTACATTTTAATCATATGAAAGGGGGGACGCTTGTTAACCTTTTCCTTTAAACAAGTAATGAAATAGAGTTCTTTACTGCTGTGTTTGAAAATCCTCTGATTAGAGGTTTCTGTTTAATCTACTTAAGTTACCTTTGTGTACGTGAATGGATTTGTCGACAACTTGCGCATGTCCTGATTATTTGCCGTTATCATTTGGTCTTGTAGAAAAAGCCATGCCTGTATTCAAATTCAATTTGTAGAAATTACACTTTATGCTCAGTATGCCGAATGTGTTGCCATCCATTAATGTGTTATCCCTGTTTTCCCATTTGCAAAATTGAACTGCACATCCAGGTCATGCGCAAGTCCTGGCCGTAAGAGTGTCTGTAAACGATGTTATGTGTACAGAATGCATGAATATACATAGTACCTGATTTCCCTTTCATATGGGTGATAATTTATGTTTTGTGTATGGTTTTTATTGTTTTTGGGTTGGAATTTTGAGGCAGGGAGGGATGGGTGCGAACAATAAAGTCACTTGCCAACTGTAGTCGGACTTAGTGACATTCATGTTAGAACCTTCATGTAGAGACTGCATAGGCATACGAACTTGGTCTCTTGACTGCAGTGCTGATAAACCCATCCAATCGATCTGTCACAGGACATGCTTATTCTGCCAAACTCATTTTAAGGTGTGACCAATGGAATTCCAGCGAACTCCCTGTTTCACTATCAATGTCTAATTATTTTGTGTGTTTCTGCTTATGAGAATAGGTTTCCCCCTTTTTTCTGGCAACAAAACAGCTGTGTTAAGATGTTAAAACACCAAACTGAAACCTTTTACAAGGAATCATGTCTGCATTAACCACAGTACTTGTGGTCAGAATGCAGCAAAAAAACATACTCTGATAATATATGCATGAATATGAATCCCTGCAGTCATGAAAGCTTTAAATAAAAAATATATGCATTGTCTTTGAAATTGATTGGTCCACACCAGAGACAGCTTTCTTTTGAGCTTAGTCTCAAAACGGTGTTTTGTCATCTGGCCATGTGGCCAGATGACAAAAGTGTCATCCACGTACCTCTTCCATAAGGTTGGGCGCAGAGTGGCAGTCTGGATGGTGTCAGTCTCAAATTTCTCCATGAAAATGTTGGCTACAACCGGAGATAGGGGGGAGCCCATTGGGGTGCCCTCAGTTTGTTTGTAGAAAGTCCCATTCCAAGTGAGGTATGTATTGTATAAGTAGTGTCTTACCAAACACTAGATCCAGGTCCGATTCAACACATTACATAAAATCCGTGATCTGGTTCCGTCTGTAAAAGATTCCGGACATACAGTACCCTGGCATCTACAAACTAAGTTGCCTCTGTGGTAGTAGTTACATTGGTGAAACCAAACGACATGTCTCGGACCACATTCGTGAACACAAAGCAGACCTGAAACATGGTAGGACCAACACCTCGGCCGTGGCAGATCACTGTTGTAATTCAGTAGGTTCACATGACATTGACTTCTCCAAGACAGAGGTTCTTTGCAAGCCATCTGGCTACCATGAGAGATTCGTTCATGAGGCTATCCACATATACAAACACAGAGACAATTTCAACCGAGAAGATAGATTCTGGCTTAGCAATTATTGGAAGTATTTGATGAACTATTTCGGGTCTTAATTGATTGATCACGCTTAAGGTGGCTTTCAGACCGCATCCATTATTTTTCGTCTCCCCCCCTCCTCTTTTCTGAACATAGATGGACTCGTCCATCTGAACAAACTGTCAAATCGCTATCCGTGGTGCTAACGTTAAAAACCCGCCACTTTTTTCAAATTGTCTTGCTGTGGTTTTCACACCTGATGATGATTGCTTGTGTTGCAGTCGAAACGTCGTGAGAATTTTATTGTTTTATATTTTTATTTTATTGTTTCCCTTCTACGTGACTTTACCGAAAGAACCAAGAATATAGTTTTAGAATGTTTAATTTTACCAAGTTTTCATGGCTCGTAGAAGTGCAAAGCCTACATATGAAAGGAGTAAAAAAACACAATGCTATGTTAAAACGTGTGTACTCCGTGCCCAATGAATGTCATTTTTCATTTCAATTGCTGGTACTTGGTGTAGCCAGATTAACTGTGTCATCCTCAAAACATATATGACACCAGGTTTTTGACCCCAGTCTGTATAGCCCACCAGTGTTTTACATCTACCAGTCTTCAACATTCACATGCAGAGCCAACTGTGAGTTGGCATATGCATTGGGCAATGTGTATTGCAATGTGTTTGTTCATTGGTAACTTGACAAAGGCCAAGAGTGCTGGAATTGTCTCGTAATCCACTCTTATGCCTAATCGTGCACTGTCGTCAATGCGTGTCCCACATCACCGTTCTCTGTGATGTTGTCACACGAGGGAATAGCGCTGGTCTACCCTCCTTGCCTCTCTATACAGTATTGTCAATCTTGATTTGAAGCTTTCGTGACTACCGGAATCCATACTCTTTGGTTCTTTCGGTAAAGTCATGTAGATAGAAAATGTATAGATCATGACTTTTCGATTGCAACAAATGCGGCCGTCTTCAGGTGAGAGAGAGCTACTGAAACAAGGTCTTATGTAGGCCTGAGATGGGTGCAGCCTCAGGGTAAGAGGGCAGGGCTAGAGATGGTCTCCCTGAGGCTGTGGAAGTGGCTATTGTACTGTGAGAGGTTAGCATGTCAATGTACGAGTTTGTATGTCGCAGCATCGGTGACGCCTAGTATGTCACGTAGATAGATAATAAAACTCTCTGAGTTGCATTATTATGTTGGATGTCTTTGTATTGACGGGTTGGATGTCCTTCTTGCTCGGTCACCGATGCTGCGACATACTAGGCAAGTCACCGATGCTGCGACATACAAACTCGTACATTGACATGCTAACCTCTCACAGTACAATAGCCACTTCGACAGCCTCAGGGAGACCATCTCTAGCCCCGCCCTCTTACCCTGAGGCTGCACCCATCTCAGGCCTATATAAGACCTTGTTTCAGTAGCTTTTTCTCTCTCACCTGAAGACGATTGCTTGTGTTGCGATCGAAACCTCATGATCTATTTATTTTCTATCTACGTGACTTTACCGAAAGAACCAAAGAGTATTGTCAATGTTGTGATGTCATAACGGCTCTTTTTGATGTTACTACTAAACTACTTTGCAGCACAGGGTAAAGGTTTCTTCATGGTGTCTCGGTGAACACATCACTATAAGTGCGTGAGTTTTAAGTCGCATCGGGAAGAGGTTTGAATCAATGTGCACTACACTGAACGCAAGAGTGAACACAATTTGCTTTTACCGCTGTAAAACCACTGCTTTCAACAAACGTTAATTTGGATAATTCCGCAAAGTTACGTAAAAACTACGTGTCACATCTTCCTGTGATGTGATGTTATTCCTGGTCGAAATAGTTGTCCGATTTCATTCACAGATTTACACTGGATGAAACAAATGCATTTAAGAATTGCCCAAAACCAGATGTTTCCAAAATCTGCCTGTGATATTGTCTTGCGATGCCACATTTGCATCAGATGACATGAAGTCAATAATGAATCTTCACAAGCTGGGGTGATATCATTAGTCTTTTTATGTAGTGGTCAGTTATGAGAATGCGATGCTAAAAAATCCTACCAACAAAATAGTGTTAAGCATATATTTCATAATAACGAGTTGGATGCATAAGGTGCCCCTAAACAATGGATCTCACTGCCATGCATATAAAGGATGAAAAGAAATCAGAGGTAACCTGGGAGAAAAAGACTTGGAGAACTCAAGAGAGGAGGTCTTTTTAAATAAAGCGAGTCTTAAGCTGGTACTTAAAAGTCTCCAACAACTGCAAATTCCTAGCCTCAATTCCTCTTGTTTTTATAAACCAATCATGTTATGGGAAAAGGTGCCTTTATGTTAAGAGCCGCTGTACAGTATTTACAAATAAAATACAATGGTGAGTGTGTCGACTCAAGGGGATTTTCTGCATCTTGTTCTCAAAACGTTCTGGTCGGTCCAATTTATGTCTGCTGCTGTAAAGAGATGGTGTGGTGTATGTGGCTGGCTATTGCACATCGCGATCACGGAACACACTGCAGTTGCAAGGCACTTCAAACCAGGCTCGTGTGAGGCTATCATCAAAATCAGACCTATAAGCCACCGGATTGCAGCTGCTCATGATTGCACTGGTCACTTGTACAAGTCCCTTAACATAGACAACTGTGAAAAGAACTTCATAGCTCATCGGATTCTTCCAGTCTAAATACATATTCTGATTCTGTTGGCAACCTGCCTCCAAATTCAGCTGCATCTGCTTTAAATCCACTGAGTGTTTTCCTATCGACCACTTAGTTGATTAAATGTTTTCATACTCGGATGCTTTAGTTTCCTCCCAATGGAGACTCAAGTGGTATTTTCTGTATTAATGGTGGTAGGGGCGTTGGTGAAACTTACACTGGGTGGTGCCCCGAGTGGAAATGTAATCGCTTTTGGAAGCAAAGCAGTGCTATGCCTAAAATCTGTGGTCTCTGTCTGAATTTGTTCCAAATATGAAAAGTACAGTTAACTCTCAGTCATTCATGGGTATAAAATCCAGGTTTGTGGATTATCAATGGGAAAGTGTAACAATATCGTACATCACACACTCATTCACGCCTTTTAAGCAAGTGGTGTTTATAGTATTCGCTGCAGATGACTCGTGGCTCAGTTAACAATAAAAAACACAAAGAAAACAGGTGTTTTCACACTAATTCTACACAAGTAAACAATTGATTTTTGTTAATGGCCTATTTTGCATTCGATTTATGTTATGCATGTTTTTATGTCATGTAGGCCATCCCCCTATTACCCTGGATAATCGAGAGTTGACTGTCCTGTATTACACATAGGCTTTTGCGACCAATGTTATCATCCATTATTGATATTTTGGTTCAAATCGTGCGCGTACAATGGCAATGTGTGTTATACACCCTCCACCCGACATAGGCCAATAAATAAAGTCACGTGGACAAGCCCGCCATTTTCTTGCTTCACCACACCATTATGTTGAAGAGCAATCCACAAAATTTTACAAATAGGTACGACGTTTCACTGGTAATTACATCCAGCAACATCAGGTTTGAGAAACATATCCTCCCTATATAGGTTGATAAATTATAACATAAAGGCTTTTGCGACTAATTGTATGCTTTTAATTTGTTTTGTTTGGTCACATTGCGTGAGTACAATGCCAAAATATGTTATACATCTTTCTCCACCCAACACAGGATGACAACTTCCTTCTGCTGTGTCAGGTGGAAGTTGTATGACACACATTGGCACTGTACTCACGCGATCGGACCAAAAAAAATCTGTTATAAATCATGACTGTTCTGTGTTGAAATATTTGAACACTCAAAATATAAAATGAATTACACTGGAATAAAAGCTTTCATTTCAAATACCTTTGCCATGCCATGCCAATGACCTTAGCCCTATTTTATGGCATTCAAAATGCACTTCAAATCTATAATTCTATACTCTTATATATAGTAAAGTA